ATTCTGCGCATCTAATTCCATGGCTCTCGACTCTTTTTAAATCAAACGAAAGAAATAAATAAAAAGAAAGAGAAAGAAAAAATAAAAGGGGGGGGGAAATAACAGCTGGAAGTTATCTTATGATTTAAAATTTTCTCCAGACGCTCCCCTATCCAACCCACCATCCTGCACCCCCTGAGGTTGGGTCACACTGGAAATGCCTGCAGGTTCATTGATTTTCCAGGCACCACTCCCCAGGGAGCGCTGCCAGGCCAGGTGGAGCCGTGCACCCCGCTGTGTGAAGACCTGTGTGGGATTGTGAGGTTGTGGAATAACTCAACATTACCTACTGATAAAGATTTTTAAGTTGTTTTTCTGACCTTGGCTTCCTGCAGGTCACCTGGTCATGCCTTTGCAGCCACAAAAGGAAGTGAAAAAGGCGGCAGGATCATAGAAAGGGCAGCCCTAGCCTAAGGTGCGGGATTCTCAGAGACTGCTCCGCAGGGGTACCAGCTTGGCAGTCTGCAGAGCAGAGCGCGTGCAGAGTGTTGTGAGGATGGGCGGAGGCAAGGGGGATGGGAATTGAGAGGCAAAGAAGCCAATGGCAGTGTCTCGGAAAACATTCTGAAAATGGGACCCAGTGCCTGGGCAGAGCCTTTCTTCCTCCAGGAGGATGACAGCATTCAGGTTGTGAGGTCGACGAGGGAACGCAGAAGGCATAGATTGTCAAATTACTCGTAGTTGTTGCGCACCTAGGGAAAAAAAAAAACCTGGTGATTAATATCTGAATACCGTGTGACTGGGAGGACAGTGAACGCCAAGGTGTAGACCAAAGGAATTCGCAGGGTATATACCAAGTACAGTTCGTTTAATCAAGGAAATCGAGTTGGGAAACTCGTTTTTAAATGTACCCCCGCACCCTCCCAAAAAAAGAGCTCCACCAAACTGCAATCCTTACAGTAATATCCACGGGAGATTTTATGGCACCTCGAGGACCATGTCATCACACATCTCTCTGCTCCTAACAACCTTTTTTAGAGAGCATCAACTTGGTTATTGTTTACAAGCTGCGCCCACCAGCCTAGGGTCTTCAGTTCCTTCCCAAACCTGTAAAAAAAAGTGTTTCCATTGGAACCTGGAAGCGGTGCTACGGGTTGGCAGGGTGGGGGTGGAGTTTCTACGCAATGCTCCAGGAACTGGAAGGTGCTGTCTCTTCCACCCAGTTGGAATGTTAGTGACCTTTCCAACATTTTTACAAGAGATGGTTCTACAATAGACCCAAGCCTCTGATTTATTGTTCAAGGTCCCTCAATTTGTGTCCTAAATACACAATCTTAGCTAGAAGCAAGAATGGATAGTCAAGGGATGTTCTCAAGGCAGAAATAGGAATGACTGTCTTTAGAAACGCAGATTCTTGCCTTTGCTTGTTTGTTTTCTTTTGTGTGGGTTTTTTTGGGGGGGGTTGTCTGTTGGAAAGCAAAGCATCTCCGAGGGTGCCCAAGATAAGTTGTTCTCACTTCCCCAAAGCCGAGTTTCACAGCTACTGAAGAGGAATCAATGCAGGCACTCTGCACTAGTGATGGGACAGCTCCTCCCCTGTTCTTTCTACCAGTATCTCCAGGGTACAATTGTTAAGAGTGTACTTTGCAGATATGAGGCCCTTGGGGACACCCCATTCCTACTAAGGCTTGCAGCAAGAGGAAGGCAGACCACAGTGCCCTGTGTACTTAGAGCTCACCGAGCCAGTCACGCTAGAGTCTGGGTCCCTGCCCTCTAAGGATGCCCATCATTTCTGCCTTGCCGTGAAGCCGGCTACCTCTCTTTCGAAGACTGGAACACCTCGAAGCCCCGTAGGGCAGGCGAGAAAGGGCTTCGCTGGGTGAAGTTTCTCACTGAAGCCAACAAACGGCGCTCTTGTCGCGCCCTGGGTCCTGGGAGCCCCAGGCCTGGCTCCACTCAAAGGGAGCCAGAGCTCTCTTGGGAGGGCGGGTGAATATGGAGAGGGAGCTTGATGGGGTTCCCAGCTCGGGATCTAGGGCTCAGCGCGCTCCCACGGGGTCCTGGAGACCCAGGAGGGCGAGAGAACTGTTGAGCGCGCTCTCTTTTCCCGGAGATGTTGGAAAGCACTAGTCCTGGGTCCCGTTGTATTCCTCTTCTTTCCTAGCTTGATGCAGGGTGCGAGTCAGAGACACTGTAGTTGGGGTTCCGCCCGCTGTCTTGACTCCCTGCAACCACAGGAGGAACCGAGGCCCCTCGCGACACTTCCGTCGACCCTCAGAGAAAATCGCGCCTCTGGGCTGGCGCCTGAGCTTGCACTGCTGGTGAGTCAAGAAAACTGATTTCCTTCGAGCTTTCCCCCATCTCCTCACGCCGGCAATGGCAATCTTGCTTGTCTATTGAACTGGTAGTTTGAATTCAAAAACTTTCCTAGGAAGAATTTCAAAGGAAACCTGGCGTGGCACTTACTTGGGGCTGCGCAGACCACCCCAGAGCCACTAGATTCAGAGATATAATCATAGCGCCCCCCCCCGCCCCGCCCCCGCCCCGGGAAGCCCGGAGGATGGAGAGGGTGTCTGGTCCAGGCAAAAGACTGCTAGAAATCTGGGAAGAGGATGCAACGCGAAAATGAGTTCACCTAAGTCTCGGGCTATGTATGTATGATCAAATGACAAACAGCTGAGAACAGTCACTAGGTTGCCCAGATAATGTGCCACGGGCAGGACTGCCGGCCCAGGACCGCCTCACCTGCCTCAGGAAATTTGAGGTTCAGGCGCTGTCACCACAACAGATTATTTGGATCCTAAAACTTGTAAAGAAATCTGACATCTGCCAGGCTACCGGACGCCAGGCCGCGCGTCGGTTGGGTAGTTTCCTAAAACGCGCTTCACTTAGCAACAGCCTCGTGGGCCCAGAAAAGCCGGGCATGTGGGGAAGGCGGCGGGAGAACAGGGGCTATTGCACATTGGCTTCCTTGGGAGCGGGTGGGTTTGCTTAAGAAAATTTGTGTCAGCCAGTTTGCCAAGAAAACTGGTGCAGTTGGGGATTACCTAATCATTCTGTTTTCTGAGACACACCTTCCAGACCGTGTTCACTAAGTGTTGTGTACATCCGTGCGCGCGTGCGCGCATAGCGCACGCGCGCGAGCGCACACACACACACACACACACACACACACACACAAACACACACACACCATATACTCATACACAAAAACCTTCCAGATAGTTTATTTAAAATTCTAAATTCGTCCACCCACTCAATTGATCTCAGCTCTTAGCTGCGGATGACTCAGACCAGGTGGAAAAGAAACTTAAGGGGTGGGTTTCGGGACCCCAAGCTTCCGGGAGATGATGCCGGTTGGGGGCCAGTATTCTAGTGCCAGCGGTCCGCTTGGCTGAAAGGATGCTGGCCTGCTCTGCGGCCCGAAGTCACCGCCACGTACTTTTTAATTCGTGAAGGAGAGAAAGGGGAAGAGCCTGGCATGCAGGTGTCCCGGAATCTCTTGGTCTTGTATTAACGCTAACAAGCCTGGGATTCCCCCCACCCCAACAGTTAGGATTTGTGCTTTCTTTTTAGTTCCCCACCTTTCCATGGGGCTGGGGATGGTGAGGGGAGAGACCTCACACCTTGAAGACACCTTATTTTCGGCTTCTGCCACATCTGTCCGGATGGCTTCTCATTCTCTCTCACCGAGAGTTTCAAACGCTGTGCCACTCGCTTGAGCTGGCAGCGGTGATTGTCGGGGTTCTCTCTTCCCGCAGCTGGGATTCCTGCGCCGCTGGTCTTTGGCAGACAACCCAACAAGCAAGTGAATGTCCCGCTCCGAATCTCGGGGCTTGGATCAGGAGGTCTGTAAAACAAGAAAGGAGATAGACGGAATCCGTTAGCCGAGTCTGCTCCCGAGGGAGGCGGCGCGGCCGCGCGCCGAGAGCAGCGCTCAGCAGTCCCGGCAGGTGCGCCGCCCGCGGAGGGGGCCCGGCGGTCTGCCTGAAGGACTCCCTCGGTTCCGCTCCGGCCACCGTCCCCCCTCCAAGAAACTTCTTTCACTCAGAGAGGCTCTGTGTTGCCATGAAAACGGATTTTCCAAGGGGCCCGACCCTCCCCCTCAGGGGCATTGGACTGGAAAAACCGAAATGGCCAGAGAGCAGAGACAAAAAGGGGCCGCTAAGCGGGGGCCGGGAACCAGAGAGCGGAGGCCGGTTCAGCCCCTGCGTCCCACACACACTCTCCACACCACCGCGTGCGAGCGCCTCCGCTAGGCTCAGGTGGCGGGCGGCTGACTGGTCACACTCCCGCAAACCCAGGAGAGCCTCACAGCCCCGTGCACTCAGCGGTCCTGAAGCCTATCTCCCATGTCCGGACCCCTGACCCTCGCTCGGTCCCGGACGCACTGACTCCCCTGACGAAAGGTCCGGGCAGCCAGCGACCAATTCCAGGCAGGGCTTCTTGGAGGCACAATCTGGGGCACCTCCGATACACCTTGAGTCCTCAAACCTGCCTGGGTAGCTGACGGTGCCCAATGTCCCTAGCGCTGGCAGCAGAAGTGGCCGGAAGACCTCCGTGCTGAGAGCGGGAAGCTTTGCCGGCTGGTCCTAGGACGGGGCGGCGGTCGGCCTTGGCAGGGTTGCAAAGTTGTTGTCTGAACCCCTCGGGCGCCCCTCTGTCCCCTCCCCGCAATCCTGCTCTCGATCCCCTTCCCCTCCTTCATCTTCTTGGGCTTCGTTCTTTCAAACTTTTCGAGACCCTAACTGGTGGTCTCTGAGCAGGTCTCTGGGACTCCCGCCTCCTGAAAAACTCTCATCACGTCACTCGGCCCAAGAGGGGCGTGCGGGTGAACGAAAGGGCTCCCCGAACTTTTTTTTCAAGCCGGGCCAAACGGGGGCTCGGTGATGATTGGTCAGGGCGCATCACTGCGAGCCTGTCAATCACAGGGCCTCCGGGTGGCGAGGGGCGGACCAAGTCCCAACCCCGGGGGATCCGAGCAGGTATATAAGGGGCAAGGCGAGAGCCCGGCCAGATTGTGAATGCGACCTGCTGGAGACAACGCATCAGGTGCAAGTAGCCTGCGGGTTCCTGCTGACTTGGCGCGGAGCACTTCGGCAAGCCTGCCTTTCCCGCCCGACTCGCTGGCCCACAGGCCCCCAAGTTCCCCTCCGACGGAGTCCCCGGGCATTTTCACCGTGGCCGCTCCAGCTCAGGGAGCACCTTCTCCTCCCGCCACGCTGGCGCACCTTCTTCCCGCCCCGGCAATGTACAGCCTTCTGGAGACTGAGCTCAAGAACCCCGTAGGGACACCGACCCCAGCGGCGGGCTCCGGCGGCCCCTCAGCCCCGGGAAGTGCAGGCAAGAGTAGCGCGAACACAGCCGGCGGCGCGAACGCAGGCGGCGGCAGCAGCGGTAATGCGAGCGGCGGGGGCCGGGCCAGGGACCAGGACCGTGTGAAGCGGCCCATGAACGCTTTCATGGTGTGGTCTCGCGGACAGCGGCGCAAGATGGCCCTGGAGAACCCCAAGATGCACAACTCTGAGATAAGCAAGCGCTTGGGTGCCGACTGGAAACTGCTGACCGACGCCGAAAAGCGACCGTTCATCGACGAGGCCAAGAGACTGCGCGCCGTGCACATGAAGGAGTACCCGGACTACAAGTACCGGCCACGCCGCAAGACCAAGACGCTCCTCAAGAAGGACAAGTATTCCCTGCCCAGCGGCCTGCTGCCCCCCGGCG